TTCAAAACGGAGGGGCAGAGATAGACTTCCGTGCCAGACGGCTTGCTCAAATGTGCTTCAGGGGAATATGTGGCGACCCTTTGTGTGGCACATTTGCGCGACCCGTAAAAAGACCCCTGAAGACCAGACGGGGTGGAGGCTGAACAGTTGGGCAAGGTGAGGCGGCTGATGTTCGCGAAAAGCTCGGAAGCAGCAACAAAACATGACTCCGAGAAGGCCGAGAAAGTGGTTTTGCGCTGACTTCAAGGATGTTTTGGATTGTTTGTGCTTTGAGCAATGGCTGCAGCCATGCACTTGACGTGAAAAGCTCCGCCTGCTGCCGACCTGCAAGACGCGGCACAAGCCACAACGAGCGACAACCCATTCAGCCGTGACTTCGGCAGTAGTTGCGACTTTTCACGCCAAGTGCGCTCTCCGTCCCTTGCTCCGGGGCCGCTCCGGAAAACGAAAACGATCATTGAGTTTTTGATCGACCCCAATGAAGCACCACCACTCAGTCCACAGTGAGACCTGTGTGAACAGCTAGGAGCATGCACACTGGAGGGAAGGCAAAGCTGCACGTTTTCAAGTGCAGATGTGTATAAAGCCAGGACTCAAGAACAGCGGCAAAAATCGCGGTGTGCTGCAATACAAACGTAGTGCTCGGACCTACCTCCAGTCGCAGGCCCACCATGTCTTACACGCAGGAGGGTAATTAGTAATGGGATTCGGGACATTGCTACGTCTGGATCCAGAGCTCGTTTTGACTGAAGGTCTGAGAGAGGCATTCGGAACTCGGGACATTCACGAACATCATTGCCCTTCAATCACCCCAGGTCGAATCAGGTCGAAGCTTGTTTTTGTCAGAGTCGCGCTTGAACTCGGGAGCTCCTTTGTAGAAGTCGAGCTGGTGTATGAAGTAGCTTTCGTAGCATGCATCTTCAGATACATGACGATGATGTCAGCAATGCAGCCTGGTGCTGCATAGGGATGCACACACCTTCACAAAGTTATCTTGCACGGCTCCTGCAGCGGTTCAGGATGACCTTGCCTGCCGCCGAACTTAAATGATTGGGTCTTGCACCACCCGGAACCCATTTTCGGGTGGGGCCACAATCCCATTTCAGTGCTGGAATGTTCCGGTAGGGGGCGGAACTTAAATGCCCAGAGGCTTTGAGTCGGGAGCCATTTTCGTTTCCGCCACCGGGTCTGAGCACTACCTGATTGACTGCTTTCCGATTCTGGGCGTTTCCTGTTGTTAGCCGCTGTCCATGTTAGTTTCCGCATGTTTCCGCAAGCGGGTATGAGCACTACCCGATGCGTGATTTTAGTTTCCTCATGTTTCCGCCACCGGGTCTGAGCACTTGCTTTCCGGATTCTTAGCAATTCCTGTTGCTAGCGGCTGGTCGTCTGCAGGACATTGAGGCAGGGCTCGCTACAAGTTGCTGAGCTAAGCCATCTAGCATCATCTAGCCATGGCATTTTTCCGGATCTGGGAAGACCCCGGGGTTCAGATGTCGGATGTTTCGCCCGATCCACCGAGGGCAGTGTTCCAAAGGAGGCGCCAAGCAGAGACTCACAGTCATGCAAATATGTAGAATATTGTAGACCATCATAAAGTATGTTCGGAGCAGATATAGCAAATCAGACATTAAACCTGCTGGCGCATCTTTGCGTCAGACTCCAAAGACTTATGGTGCCGAGCCATTTAGTCCTCCGCTTGCTTGCCTCATGGTTTCCGCTTGAGGGATTACACTCTCATCGTGTGGGGTTAAGGGGTGTGTAACCTGCTGGGCCAGCACACTGTGTCATGGTTCAGGCATAAGATGGCCTAAAATGTAAGTGATCTGCATGTTGTGTAAATAGGTAGGATGGAGGCTGTCCGATGACATATCATGCCATGCTTCGCAACGGAATTGCAGCAAGAAGTGCGCGACCCATGCGACCATACAACAACCTACTCCAAGACCCTGAGATGAACGAGGTGAGGTGAAGCTACTCCCACGACAACTCAAGTCAGCTTGCCAAAAGCCGAAAGCTTTGCGAAAGAGCCGGCTGGACTTCTGAATTTGCGGTCGAGTGCCTGATGCAGATCATGTGCCTCCAGAGGTGCTGCGACAGACGGACCGCGCCATTGAGACTGCTACCGAGGCCTCTTGTTTTAGGGGTCCTGTGTTGGGAGCTTTGTTTGGTAATGGGGGCCTCCAGGGTCTCGGACATGTATTTCGGTTGGGAGTGAAGGGCTTTCCAAAATGACGGGTGTGTCCAGACAAGGTTTCGTGGCAATGCACCCACGGCTAGGCGTTGAGCATGGCTTCCGACTCAGTGAACGACATCCCCGAGGAGTCGCGGAACGACTCACTGCGCCTAGGTTGATCTGGTTCGGCTGGCGACTAAACCTCTATAACCGTCGCTAAGCTCAAGACTGACCACTAAGCCCGCAGTGCACGACATTGGCAAATGCCACTGTTCAACAACTGCTCTAGGTGATCTCTGTTTTTTTGATCCTCGATAGGCCCCATATTACCCATAACTCGTAGACTGCCCCAACATGATCTCCCGAACTGGGTGAGAGCCTTTATAGGCTCAAGTCTTTGCCACCGGCACCTCGAAATGTTCCGATGCAAACACTATTTTGTCTCAACACGACTCAAACCAAGCCATGTGGAGACACTGAGGGTACAGAGTACTTGCGGGTAGCACGTCCTCGTTTGACGGACGTTCCGACCTACTAAGGATTACGATGCAGCTGCTGTCAGACAACCTCAACCTCTGGTCCCCGCAGTGAGGGGCCTCTGACGTAGCATGGGCTTTTTGGGGATTCTCTCCCTGGGCTCTCGAGGTGATGATTTTATGTACATGGATAATTGGGTCGTGATGCTGCGTTAAAGGTTGGCACGCACAGGTACGGCTAAGAGGCCCAGTTTAGCGAGAAGACCCAGCCTTGCGTGCACCGTGAAGTGGGGAGTGGCCGTTGGAGCAGACTTCTGAAGCATTTTGCTCGTGATCAAGACTCTGGAGTAGCACGGCATGTAGCAAAAGGCTTCACAGGCATTATTTTACTTCGAACATCCCCACCCTACAGGTAATGCATTGTGGGGTTGGGCACTCCAGGGAGTCTCACGGTAGTCTGTGGGGTTGGGCTCTCCAGGGAGTTTCACGGTAGTCTGTGCGGTTGGGCACTCTCACGATAATCTGAAGTTGGGCACTCCAGGGAGTCTCACGGTAGTCTGTGGGGTTGGGCACTCCGGGAGGTAGTCTCAGCGGGCGAGGAGTAATAGCTGACTTTAACATTTAACAACCCCACACCGAGGGTGGGGAATAATGGCGCGATCCGTGTGGTCGCAACTCATTCGCCAAAAACTTTATCCAGCCGTCGTGCATGGAGTGCATGGGTATACTGCGCATACTTTGCCAGTTGTGCGGACATGTTGCTGCAACGGTGGATGGCCACTCAATGCGAGATCTAGGTGAATAAGGCCCGCACATGAAGAGGTGCAGGCTACTGGCCGAGCCTTCTTCAGGATTGCCTTCTTTTGCTAGAAATCTCCTTATACTGTCCCGACTGTTTTCAGGCTCGGGTGAGACATGCAAAGCAGCCTTGCTTCTTCAAAGGCGGTCCTTGAATGCCAATCTCTTCCATCTCCACAAGCAGAGCTTCTGAGAAGAGTACTGGAGGCTCTGATGGCATGTCAGGCATGATGAACCCAGCCTTGGCGCATGCGATCATGTAGGGTTCGGTACAACGGGGTCAGATGCCATCAAGTGCCCTGAACATTTGCTGACTTGGTCAGCAAGGGAGCAGAGAAACCGGCTGGCTCCCAAACATATAGAGGCCAGTGTTTCGGCAGAGGACCCACGCAAGAGGGGTGCAGGAGTGTTTCAATGATGCCAGGTCTGCAGCTACTGCCCAGCACAATGTGCAGAATGTCTAGGCCTAGGCCTAGGCTAAATCGACAGACGTACAGTGTCAGCGAGATATCCCTTCTGCATGGGCGTGTGTGGAAGATAAGCTGGACGGAACTCCCGCAGTGTTGGATTGGCCGACGAAGCCTCAGGCTGCCAGGGTAGATGTGGAAAGCTTGTCACTTGCTGCTTTAACCTGCAGCCATAGACTTATGCCAGACCATTTGCTGAATACCTGGTCAGCGTGCAAAGATGCCCTGCCAATACTGGGAGAGTGCCATCATAGAGGCAGCGTCGCATTTTGGTTCTGTGAGGAGAGCTGCGCACAGAGGCCCAAAACGAGCAGGCTTCGTTTCTCGTTGGTCCATGTTTGTGAGAAGAACACGATGTACTGTGAAGCAAAGACCCCTCCGCAAAGTTAAAGGTGCCAGGGCTAGCGCGGAAATTTCCTGGCACATCAACCACTCGGAAAGGTGAGCTAAGAGAGAGAGAGAGAGAGAGAGATATATATATATATATATATATATCGCTTCTACATCAGGCTCGCTGGTGGATGCTCCCTCGACGTGTAGCAAATTCTTTTCCGAAGGTCCAAGCATCCCAGACGACTACATCTCATGAACACGCAAACCCAGCTTGGCCACAGCACAGAGTGGTCGAACATCATCCGCGACAACCCAACCCATCAGATGGACCCTGGCCCACTGGCTGTGGACTGCGAGGTGAACCAGGGAGACCGCCTGCAGCTCTTCCGACAGATTTTGCTTCCGGCCCGTTGGGAGGGTCGTTGGATGTTGGTGGACTCAAGTGTACGAGTTGGGTCGAGGGCTTATTCAAGACCTTGTGGGACTTGTTTCAATCCGCCCGCCGTCCTGCTCCTGTTTCAGTCGACCTGCGTAAACTCACATGTAGTGACGGAATGGGCGCACTGCTACTAATCACAGCAAGTTGCAAAATCTTCCGCCCGAAGAGCACAGTCGAGTTCTCTGTCGAGCATAGCCATTGCATGCTTGTCGGGCGACGGTGGTACCGAGAATTGGCAAGTGGTGTCAGCATCAGTGTCCTTCTTTTCGGCGCCTAGTCTGTAAGATCCACCTGCAGAGGCCGGGGACCGCATGCACGGCATTGAGGCGGGCGAGGATTATTACTTCAGCTCCTACTGTAGTGGTCGTATAGGTGCATTTGGAGCACGGAGGCCTTGATGATGAAGGACGAGGACAGAGGCAAACTTCGCCCGGTGGAGCCTCGGCTGAAGACTGAAACAGGCTTGCGGTACTGTACCCGACCTGGACCTGGCCTTCTCTAAGGACCGGCGATGTCGTAACCTCTGGGACCAGCTCATCGCCCCTCTGCTGACGTTCCCTGGCAGACATACCCTGGCCGTTTTTTTCCGCCCTTCATTTGTTGCTTGGTCCCTCCGGACAGTCATTCGCGAACGAGGTTCAGGGTGTTTGAGGTGCAGATATGTACAATACGGTAGTCTTCCTTTCTTTCATTCTAGTTCGCTCTACAAACCTAAGGTTGTCGATTCTTGGGCGCCTCGAAAATCGGCAGCCAGACCTGCTCAAATACCTTCTGGTGCCCTGAGCCGGGGCTTTGGGCGCAGGATTCGGGGTGGTGGTCTCGCCTCATACCAGAGCTTAAAGGTTCGAACCCAGCGAAAGTATGAGCAAGTTGGTGTTTGACGGGTGATGTGACGCCAAGATACAGCTCAACAAGCCTAGCACGCGCTTTTCGAAATGATCCTCTCTGGCCATCTGTTGCATTTGTGGAAGTGTTTGCCCTTTGCTTCGAAGGGGGCGTCCGTAACTCTGTGTAGACTCCGGCCTGTATGAAGTCTTGACACTGCGTTCCAGGAGCGACTATAGACTAGACAGAGGTTTCCATTTTCAACACCCGCCCATCGCCAGCATTGCCTACTCGGGCAGCGGGGGATGGTCTACGGCGTGCTCGCCAGCGCGACGCCAGACGGGATGCCCAGACAAGTCGACCGTAAGAGGAGAAGAAGCAGCTTGGGATTATTGCAGATCTGTCAAGATTTGCCGAAATCTCATTTGCAGAGGCCCTCGGGATTTGCATGGATCTCCAGGTTGCACTTAGAATTCGCCCGGGATCTTGAGCTTCCAGCATGCATCGATTTGGGGGCAGGTTGCATGCTGCCGTGCTGCTACGTACCATGATCCGAAAAACCGTACTGTCCGCAGAAATCCTAAACGGCGGTCAACAAAACTTACCAGTCACCTGTAAGCTTCCCAATCGAAACCGAGGCCCCGGGTCCCCACAAAGCGTCTGTGCGGGCAACTCTCAACAACAGAGACAGAGCTCCTGAGCTCCTTCAGTCGAAGAGAACGGGGACTTTGCCGACCTGGGAGACCATCGCCAAGGCGCCGCGGGTTCTTTAATGCTCGGGTTTGTATTGGCCTTAGTGTAATCAGGATAGGCTGAGCGACTCGGGGTGGTTGGTTCTGACGCTCTACGGAGCCGTGCCACAAAGTCCATGCTGGTTTTCAAGAGCCGGCTTGCAGTCGACAGTACCCCTCGCACCATGAACCACAGGTGGAGAGCCACACTTCTGACCGATTGCTGTTTTAACGGTCTCCCTAGCACCTGTGAATTTGGGATGTGACTATCTGACTGTTGCCCGCTGACGGCGAGACGTCTTCTTTCGGAGTCGTTGTGGCGGTCGCAGTAGCACCAGCAGAGGCAGCAGAAATGCTGCTAGCTGCTCGTGCTACTACTAGTAGTGGTGTTGTTGTATTGTCATCTCCCTCGTTTCCGTGCAACGTCTTGGTGCAGAGGTCATCACGGAGAGTGACACTTTGGAGTCTCGGGTGGAGGCAGGGCGCGGCAGTGTCGATGTCACAGAAGACGCGTGTGCATGTCGGAGATCTGTGGTTACGGGGCTTTGTCAGCAGTAAGTGTGTCCTGGAGCAGGTTGTGTTCCGAACAATCCCACGGCTGCTGTTGTTTCATTGTTTGCATCGAGTCTTCAACTCTTCTTTTGCATCACCTGGTGAGCAAGCGACACCCAGTTGGTAGCTCACCAAGTGGGAGTGCTCGGTGCTCCGACTCGCATGTGGCATCAAGGACCTTTGACATTGTGAAATTATACCCCTGCATTCCCTGGATTGCATGTAGGCGCTGCGAAGCCTGGGGTTCCGCGGGCCAAAGCCGCGCAAGTCTTGCTGGTCAGGTTCGGTGCCTGGCTCCCAGATGCATACCCGAGTTTAATCCGCGTCGTGCTTAAGCTGGTGGTTGGCTCGGGTAGACATTTCAGATGCCACGGGAATTGCGGGGGTCGATGGCCATATCTGACTGCTTGGATGGTCAGCATGCCTGTGCCAGAGTTGACTGGGGCAGGAATTTAAATTCCTGGGCTCCTAAAGCTGGATGACAGCAGTGTCCAATCGTCAAACTGCATGTTATTAGCCTCCTGCGACAAATTCAATAACCTGCTGTTCGTGCCTGAACCGTACCAAAATAAGACATGCCGACTCCTTGCCCAGGTGGGTGCGGGATGAATATCCGCGAAATCCGGACTCAGCACCATGGGAGGCAGTGGGGAACAGCGGGTGTTCTTCCAAGAGAGGTTTATGCCTATGCAAAACACTGACGCGGCACATATTGCCATTGGATTCAAGCACTGCGCCAGGGCTTCCAATACGTGGACAGGGAGGACGCAGACGTGCTGGGGCAGGGGGCCTGGCCTGCAACCGGAGAACCAGCGGGGTGGTTTGTCCTTCGGATTACTATCATGTTTAGACGGTATGGTCCCCAGGTCATGTCAGGTTGGATTCGGTCAAGCTTTTCAGCTCGCGAAAATCAGGCCAGGATCAGGCCGATTGTCCTGTTGGATTTGTACACGGGATTTACATTGCGGCTCGAAACATTTCCAATTGTGGATTGCTGCTCTTGCAGCTAACCCCTTGCTGCTTTGAGGGGCTTCCAGAACGAAAAGCTAGCCTTAGTATTCAGATTCAGATGCGATAGATCAATTCAACTTGCCGTTCGGGCTGAAAGGTGATAGGATGTGCCACCCTTCCGCTGAGGCAAGGCCCGCCGGGAATGAAGCACGAGGCCTTCAGAAACTTGGCATCATGGCACATGATTCACTATTGCTCACGTCAGGCTGCTGGCCAACTTTATTGAGTTGTTCGGAGGTGGTACATAGCACGTACACAAGGTGGCCAGGGCCAGGCGTTGAATGACTAAGACGGGCTCCTCATTTGCCAAGGAGACTTGGCACATGTGCTAGCCTGCAACAATACTGTCTGCGACCATGTTGGGAACACACTGTTTGTAGCAGATGCTGGATACCCAGCCATGCATGTTCAGTTCGTGATATCTCCCCACGCTCGGATGCACACCCCGCGGTTCCGTGGCTCTCACGGTCTCCGGGGATACCACATGAGTCACACTCCTGCCACAGTCATCCGCAGTCCCGTGTGCTCATTTACTGCTTTCACATCGCTTAGTGACAAGGCCACACCATTCACTATGCGCCTCGTTGTGCTCCTCGGTGTTGTCTCGAAATTCTTTGTGCTGATGTCGCAGTGCCGTGCATTTTTAGGATGGCTGCAACTCGTGCTTTTTGCGCACCGCGACCACGACTACAGTACTGCGACCACCAGCAAACACCACTACCAACGGCAACAACAGCACGTACTTCAGCAGCCATACAGCACCACACCATAACTCCACAACTGAAATAAGAGCCAGAATCTCAACAGCGCCAACACTATTAGCAGCGACGAAACAAGAGACGCCAAGGACCTCGACAATGGCACAAAGCACCACAAGATCATGGCCAGCGAGCCAGGAACACCAACGGCAGCAACAACGATGCCAAGATGAACATAAAAAAGCCATTGCAACAGCAACTGCAACAGCAAACGGCAGTAGCAGTGCCAGCAGCAGTTTGCTCCGAGGGAGGGTCGGGTAAGGCTAGGTCAGTAAGCCGCCAGTATGCAGTAGCTAAGAACAAGAGCTCCGAACTCCCACCGCCCTCCAGCCCTCAACACCCCCTGTCCTCCATAGCAAGACCAAGTCCTGGAGCTCCTAGGACAGAATCGAATGTGGTGCTTGGAGCGGTCTGAGCAATTCGATGAGAAGGCCGACTCGTGAATCTCGGGAACTCCTGCCGTTCCAGTGTTCCAAGGTATGGCTCAATGCGTCTCTTCAAAGTCTCATGTCCTTCGCACTTCTGTTGGTTTGCTCCTGATGGGCATGCTAAAAGGCATGTCGACTGAAAAGCATATGGTCGGGGTACAATGATAAGCGAAGGCCGGGAAGCTTCGATAGCGGAGGTGGGTGGGTAGGGATGTGGATAGACTAGATAGATGTCAAAAGAACGGGTTTGTTCTTGATAGCCCTCTTGCAGCCCTTCGGGCGCTCCGTCTTCTTTTCCGAAATTCTGTTGGATCTAGCAATGAATAGTCTTCCTTTCTCGATCGAACTGCATGCCGCGATGCTAAGAAACGAGAACACAGTTGCAAGCTTCATCTCATAAGGCACAGGTTGTCACAACTTCGACTTCTCATCCAACATCCGTCTTGTGTTTCGCAGCACTGTTCGCTGATGTAACACCTCTAGCTATGATTGAACGTCTTGAAGACCACACTTCCGAACTTCCCACTGTCTTCAAATCGCACGCCAGGAGCAGGAGTGGGAATCGGGCTTCAACAAGAGGGCGGATGCCTTCATTTGGGAGGAGCGGACGTGCGTGCACAATTGTGGTACTGCAAGGCAAGAAGACCACTCGATTTCTAGAGAGCATGTGTCCTGGCACACCCGCGGAAGAAGTTTGTGAATGGTGCGACACTGTGCGGGATGACGCAGACCCAGTTCGTATCGAGCAGCGCGCTGCACGGGAGGCGAGGGCGGAGGCTGCCCGGGTCTGCCAGAGCCCAACCCTGCAAGCATCCCTCGAACATTACTTCAGACTCCTGCATGGCATAGTACGAATTTGCAAGAAGTCGTCAAGGAGTCGCCCGGCTTCAAGTGGTCTGGTGGAGCTGAGAAGCCCATCACGCCCAGTATTTACGACAAGCCGGGTGCTCGGCAAACACTACATGCTGCAGGACTATGTGCAGAGTTTTCAAGCTGAGCACCTAGATGCTGGAGACGATACTCACTTCGCAATCGACAATCACAAAAACCCAGAAGTTCAATTGTAATTGTTGCTGTTTGTGATATATGCAGTTTCGAGGATTCAGTTGTCCAACCGGCTTTTCATCAACGAGGCGTCGGAAGCATGCACAGTTTGATGGAAATGCTAGGATGCTAGGGCTTCAGCGGTCGGCCTGTTTGGAAGGCTCTGGCCGAGAGAGTTTTGATGGCCGATCGAGTGAAGCTCGTCGGTGAGAAGCTGCTTTGCTTTTGGCTCAGCTGACGGATTACACAGCATATTGGACGGACTTACAAAGTTGCGATGGGTGCCAGCAGTGTCTACTTCCGTCTTTCCAAAGCCAGTTTCTGCATCAGAAAGAATGGCATGACACAAATCTAGGCGACAGATTGGAAATCCAGGAAGTGCAGGTCAGCCCCCTGACTATGTACTTCTGCTACACTACTACACTTCACACCCTCCACTCCAGTCATCTCAAGGGAAGCTGACTGCAACCAGTGCCCAGAATCCAGATCCACTCCAAATAGCCGAGAGCCCGGTCCGTCTGCACACGGCCCAAGTCTACGTCATCAGGCCCTTTGTTGATCTTCTCAGCGGAGAGCTTGAAGAAGCCCAGCATCGGGGCCTGGATCATCGGCTCGGACTTGGAGGCATCGAGTGATCCTTTCGGAGCACTTGATTACCAGCAGAATATGCACCTCGCTTCAGAGCAACATGCAGAGGCAGTAGAGGCAATCGAGGGCTTCCAGCTTTCGCGATGCTTCGGCTCCGTGAGACAAGTATGACCAGCCTTCGAAGCCAGAGGAAATCAAGGAACATGCCGAAGACAAGCCAGGAGCTCGAGCAGGCCGAAAAGCTGGCACTGAAAAGGGACACTTGGCTTTGGCTGCTGGTGTGATGGTCAGTGTCATTCAGGGCTGCGGCTCACACGGACTGCTTTGCTTGCTCGAGAGCACTGCAGTGAATCGGGGCTAATGTCCTTCCGCCATGAATTCATCTGATGAGGCAGACACCTCAAAGACCGCATACCGTCTGGACACGCATTGCACCATCCTATGAAACAGGTTCCCGAAGCGCAGGCTGCGCCGTTCTTCCGTCTCAGACATGCGGGGACATGTCCACTGGGACTTGTTTCAGGGGTGTAAAACACTGAGACTGTGGGGTCTTGAAGCTTCCAACTCGCCAGTCGATTCCGCAGCATCTCGAACCGAGGATCTGCTGCGCTACGTGGCTGCGCAGGCTGGGGGTACCAGTAGCCTTCGAAGAGCACACATCAGCTTGAAAAACCGCAGCCGCCATTGACGCTTATGCGGCCCCTGAAAGTGTGTAAGTATTTGGGTGAAGGCTTTCGTCGCGATGCGATTGTTGCCTTGTAGCTCAAGTCTGCTTTGCAACTTCAACGTCACAGTTGCCAAGTTGGCCAGATCGTCTACGACTCTAGTTCTCTCCTCCACAAGGCAGCGCTAAGATAATATGAAGGTGTGCCACTTGTGACGAATTCTGAGACAGTTTGTTCTCGGCCTCGCGGACAGGGTAATTTGCGAATTCGATGTATCCCAACGGTACAGCACAATCGTGAGATTTGACACCGTGATGGCTTGCCCCGGATATCATCATCGGCGGAAGCACTTTCTCAGACGGCGACCGGCAAGAAGGCCACTCCTCGGAGCTGAACTTTGAACTTTGAGGCTTGAGTTTACAGTGCACAACTGGGGTGGGGGGGGGCAGGGGAATCCTCCAGATCCGAGTCGGCCTCGCAAAGGCTGCCAGCAGCAAAGACGGACCTGCCTGGCAGGCGCCTTTCCAGAAGGCGCCAAGCGGAGCGCAGACAGCGGAAGTGAACCGAGTTTCCGACTTCTTTGCGCAGGTCTTCGACGAGACGAAGGAGAAGCTCGCCCTCGCTCTCATGCAAAAGGCCCCAGAAGGCGCCAGCTGCTGCTCAAACGCAACTCTCTACCGTACAACAGCAACAACAGCAACAACATGTACCCGCAAGAAACAGGTTGCTTTTGCAACGCCTTGTGGTTGCCGACTGCGACGTCAGCTTTGTCAGTGTCGAGTCCTGTCAGTCCTGTTACATTGGCCGGAAGCCCGCAAGGCCGTAAAGATGTTCAAGTTTTGCTTCAAAGATCCTGACCCCTTCTTCACCTTGAATCCCGGAAAGACGACCGAAAGTATCAATGCTCGGGGCCCGGATAGCTTGAACCCCAACTTGCGCCCAGAGCTGGAGACGTTGACGGAGAAGGCGGAGGAGCTCCGATGGGAGCCAGGGCCAGAGTTGGGACCCTGGTATCGACGAGAAAAAGGGGGAGAATCAGGAAAGCAAAGAACTGCCTTGAAGCTTTGCCAGTGAGGCTTGCGTCCATATGAATACAAGGCATTGGCATCCGATGGACTGCGGCAAATCTAAATTCATGTAGTATGAAGCTCAGGCACAAACGACTCTGAACATGTAGGTTGTGTTAGACTGGTGGCCATTGTGGTTGCCACTCTTCGGGTTGAGGGCCGTTGACGGTCTAGGCTTCAGGCCGCGAGGGGTTATGTTCTTATTTTGGGGCTTGAGGGCTTGTTGGCTACGGTGGTCAGGGCTCAGGGCTTTTCAGACAGGTGTCGTGCACAGAGAGGAGGAACCTATACAACTGGTATGACTAGCATCAGCATGGCTGTGGGTTATACAAGGCTTACCACGTTCGGGGCTGGTTCGTGTGGTGGTATCAGCTTGCTCGAAGTATGTGTTTCATAGATGCACCTGGGTCTCTGATGGTGCTACAAGTCGGGGTATTCTGTTCGTGAAGGCTTTTGGGCTGGGTGGAAAGACTTGCGGCGAATTCAGCTTGAAGGTGAGTTTGGGCTTCACTACGGTTACGGAGGCATCAATAAAAATCTGCCAAGTCGCACCGAAAAACTTGAAGGATGACTGCACTGAACTTCCTATCACATTGCCAGAAAGCACACGCTCCTGACAGATCCTGACTATTCACATGACAGAAATGGCTGCTTGCAAGTAACGGGCTGATGCTGTGCCAAGCATGTCCTTTCTGAGCCCCGGAAGCCTCAAAACTCGGTGTGGAGCTCTCAGGGTGCGACGTGGTCGTCTTGGGCTCGAGGCGAACGAAGCACCAGAGGACCAGGCCAGGCGCCGAGACTCAGGAGTCCTTAGCAATCGCTGAAGACATTTTTTGAACTTCTGAAAGGCGAGTGCTGCGATTGAGTTATGTTTGAGTTCAGAAAACAGCTACAACCAGGCCGAGCTGCTGCCAGAAGATGAGATCCGATGGTTTAAGCGCAGGCATCGCCTCTCGCTCAGCCACGGGTTTTGCCAACCTCAGAAATTCGAGAAGTCGGATGCTTGAGACTTTCTGAGACAAGAACAATCAGTTTAGATGTTGCCGAATGCGATCATGTCTCGCCGTGAGCAGCTACCAGTGGCTCTTGCACACGTTTACTCGTTCCGTATGGAGTTTCAGACGACCAAGAAGTCGCGATGTTGGAGTGGACCCACATACAAAATCTGCCGCCCCCCATACCTTCCGGCCAGGCAGTCGACGCAGGCCCGGAGACTACGATGAGGGCTGAATTGAAAGACCTTCTCTCGTGGAGCAGTGCAAACAAACAGCTGCGCTGTTCTGCCACTGACTGGGTATTCGTGAGATCGAGAGCCGAAGTACCGGAGAGTGCCGCAGGAGTTCTGCACTTGTTGCGGAAATTGCTGCTGCAATGATCATTTTCCGGTGTACTGATGATCTCATATTTGCTGGAAGCGCTAGCTGTTCTCTGGCGCCAGGCCTATCTCCAGCTCCGGCTGTGCAGTGCCATTGGCTGCGCCAAGGCCCAGGGTTGTTGCTTTGCGATTCTAGGTGGCAACGTTAGAGTCTATGGCCTTTGGCATGGGCGCTTGCTTGTGAGAGAGTCATTCCGGCTAGCCGTGTGCACGCATCACGTCGGGTGCATGCTCTGTTGAATTTTGGACCAACGAGTCTGCGAGCGGCAGGACCTTATCTCCATGGCGGCGGCAGTGAGCCGCGAGGTCTCCAGCAGGCTCCTCCGGACGTGTCTTATGGGGTTCGCACACGCAGAAAGAAACAGCGGTGGTACCGAGGCAGAACAGTTGAACTGCGGTGGATGACTGGCACACCCAAACAGGGTTCAAACAAATTGTCTATGGCCAGAACAGTGGCATTAGAATTAGAAAGCCATGCGATGGTCCTACAACATGCCTGCCGCGAGACACCAGGTACCAAAGCGTGTTACTTCCCTGATTTGGGGCAGCCACCAATGGAATTTCAGGATTTCGCAACTGTCTGTTGCACGCTTAGCAAAGTCTCAGTGTTTCAGAAATCGTTCCAGCAATATGTTATCCTTCTCAGTTTTTACAAATTCTCTTCCGACCGGTTCGAGGATGTCGCATATCTTGAGATTACAGGAAGTTCCAGGAACCTTCCAAGCCTTCTGCTTTGGACAAATGCTGCTGAATGTGTGGGGCATGTTGAGATTTCGTGGCGATTTCAGAACTTGCTCAAGATCCAACACATGTGAAGCTGGAAATGCTTTAACTTGTGAGGTTTAGGAGGTTGTGACTGCACTGCGCGATGCCACTAAACTGATGCATGCGCAGCAGTTGTAAGAAATGCCCACATGAATGAGTAGACGCAGGTTAAAGTACTTTTTGCTCGACTTTTTCAGGCCATGCCGTGGGCGTTTGGTTTGGTTAAACATTCAAGTCGGGAAGAGATAGGTACGGCGTCGCTATCCCCTCTGGTCCCAAGTGAGCTTGCGGCATCGCAGCTGAATCCGACATGAGAAGCGCACTCCACAAAAGGAACTTTGCCCCCGGCTTCTGGATCGCCTCTTACGGCCTCTTGTTGTGGGGCCGTGCACGACAGCTGCGGTCGGGCTTGGCAGGGGCCTCGTGCTTTGGGACATCAGGCTTGGATTTCTGGAGATAGATATTGGTCCCCTGCTTAGGACTTTCTCTTCTTGTGGAGCTTGAAAAAAACAGTTAAACGGTCCCGAAGTGAGCCATCAGGAAGGTCGTCCGACCCGAGCTCGGAGATTCCTGCTTTCCCGATTTGGGGCTACAGAGTTTATGGAAGCGAGTAGCAGGCGCTAACCTATCATTATTATTACTACTACTACCACTACTACTATTACTACTACCACTACTACTACTACTACTACTACTACTACTACTACTACTGTGCCAAGTGGGTGACAAAACTACTACTACTACTACTACTACTACTACTACTACTACTACGACTACTACTACCACGACGACTACTATTACTACTACTATCACCACCAGGGTGATGGCGCCAGCAGCCAATAAGAAGCACTGGAACCACCACAACTCGACATTGCTTCGGATGTGGGAACGCAGTTGTGGTAACTAGGATAACTAGGAGTCAGTGGCCTTTGCAGCATGGAGGCTAGGCCGGAGCTCGCACGCTATAGGAGCTCGCGCTTCGCAAGCGTCTCATACGTGCGAAGTGGCCTTACGAGGCCTCGCTGCTTTCATGTACCCGGTTATTTCCTGCACGAGCTGCTGCAGTTGCTCATTCCTGCAGAGCCGTGATGTTTGCAGGGGGGTGAGCTTCCAATATAGATGTGTACAATTTCGGGGATTGCCTGCAACGCTTGCAGACAAGACTTAGCATGGTGAGTAGAGGCAAGGAGCCGCTTGACATCCTACAGACATTTCATGTCTTTGATGTAGTGCCGGCCCTGCCGAGTCGCAGGATGCAGAGGAGTCAGAGTCAGAGACAGAGGACGACTTGGGAACTGAAGAGGAGGAGGACGTCTGTCCTGACCACCGGCACATGGTGAGACAGAGTTGGAACATCTCAGGTCTTGCTGAGATTAATCAATCTTGGGATTAGCGACCTAGCCCATGACATAAATGAGGTCAACGTCACGAGGCAAAACCAGTCGTTCCAGGAGCTCAAGTTGTTCAACCAGTCTATCCGTATCGGTTGAATGCGAATGGGGGTGTATCTGCAGATGCCAATTGAGTTTAGATTGGCGTTTTGGCTCTCAGCTTCCGGTGCGTATGCCTGGCGAACTTGCGAACCAAACTATCTTGAGCAGTTATGCAAGTCTAGTCACGACTTGTGAAGGCACACAGCCATAACCAGACAGAGACTGTACAATATCCCGACTGCTAGCAACTGTGCATTCAAGGAGCCTGATGTCTGATAGCAGCCATTACAATCATTGCAACGGCCATCAGCCCCGCAATACAACCAACGCAGCTAGGAATAGCGACAGCCAAGACATTTCGTGCCCCTGTCTCATGCAACTAGTCTTCAACCAGCAAAAAACCCTTGGACAACAACATACCATTGTGAGTCATGGCGGGAGAGACTACCTCTCCTCCTGGAGCACCCCTGGTGCCCACGACACTCGGCTTCGGGCCTGCGCTTTCCGACCGAGAGGTTTGCCTCTCATTTTCCGAGAACGTTTCATGTTGCGGACTTAACATTAAAAGCAAGCTCATTCGTGTATTGGAAAGCAAGAAGCAAAAGCAGGAGGAGACTACTTGCAACAGTGATATTGCAGAGCTGTTTGGATTCGTTGGGTTGACAACTTGCAGCATTTTCATGTTGTTGGTTCCCGGGTGTCTTCCGATAGCAACCCATGACCTTCATGTACATAGCTCCCCGGTTGATGCCCAAACCCTGTCAGATTGCTTTATACCGACATCTTTCTTCCGTGGTGAGGCAGGCTGTCGAGTCGTTTCTGTTTCAAGCCTAGCTGCGCTGGCACACAATCCAAGCCCATGCTGAAAAAGCCTAGCTGCAATTAATCTATCACCGACAGCCCTGAATTTGAGTCCAACATGAGGGTTCTTGCTGCTGAGGAGAGTGCCTCCGGAGCAATGGAAGATGAAAACCGGAGCAGAGGTGAGCAACGGACGGTTTAGGTCATCAGCTTGGGTTTGCTTGGTTTGACATTTGACAAGCCGTGGCATGCCATTTGGATGGTGTTGGGAGCAGTCTGTAGCCCTTCACCGTCATAAAACATGCTAAAGCAGTCTGTAGCCCTTCACCGTTATAAAACATGCTAAACTTACATATATCGACTCGTGGTGAGCTATATTCACTGTCGGTTCGACACTCACTTTGGATATAGATGTGTATATATATATACATATGTATATTTACATACATACACACTTTGTATATGTATATATGTATATGGATCTATTTACTTGTTTGATTGGATTCTATATCTACATATATATATATATATGTATACATATATAATCCGATACGTTGGTAAGAGGCAAGAGAGAGATAGCAGCCAGATGCATAGATGGGTAGATAGATAGATAGATAGATAGATAGATAGATAGATACATAGACAGATAGATAGACAGGCCGATTGGTAGACAGATAGATACTTGTAAGAACAAAGATAGATCGATAGATAGATCTATAGTCCAGGCAGGTGGATAGGTAGGTGCGTAGGTAGGTTGGTAGGTAGGTTGGTAGGTAGGTAGGTAGATAGGTAGGTAGGTAGAAAGGTAGATGGGTAGATATGTAGAGAGGTTAGATGTTTTGGTGCATGCATACACACACATATACATATAGTACGCAAGTCCCGTGTTGAGGTCGCGTTACTATTTCCCGTGTTGTTATGTGTGTGTGTGTGTCGCATAGTGTAGTCATCGCTTCGAACAAGGTACTGTAGGTGGCTGCAGAGGGGGACTGGTCTGTGGTCCTACGTTCCCGCAGGGCGCGCCATCCAAGGTGCACTCGCGTTTTGCGTCCAAGGTGCACCTCGGAAAAAAGTCCGACCTGCACTCGCGTGCCCCTGCCCGAGCCTGTTCCGGCCCCTTGCTGTGCACTCGCATGTTGTTTCTGTACCGCAAAAATGGAGCTGCCGTGCCCCTGCCCGAGCCTGCTCGCGCCCCTTGCCGTGCACTCGCTCGTCGCTTCCGCACCGTAAAAATCAGGCTGCCATGCCGCTGCGCGGGTCTGTTCCTGCCCTTGTCATGCCCCTGGCCCTGCCATCCCCTGCCCTTGTTGACTCGCCGAAAGCTTTATCTCCCCAAGCAAGCTGTCGCAGAACACTAACACTGATCTCGGCCGTCTAGCCATGCCTGGAGCAATCCCCCAAGACCTAAGGAGTGCGTCCAGCATAAGGAGTGAATCTAGCAGGAACCCTTTCCCCAAGACTGAATCCTTGAGGAGTGAATCCAGTGGAGCAGGGGCACAGTGGCCTCATTTTTACAGCGACATAAACCCTAAGGAGTGCATCCAGCGGGAACCTTCTGCCCGAGGCGAA